ATTTCTGAATATAATGACATCATTTTATTTGCAATTATTGCAAATATATGATTTCTTTATTTATTATTTTTCATGCTGGAGCAAGTATTGGTCTAAATGTAACTTGTGACCAAAAAATGGTATTTTGAATTTATAAAACAAATTTTCATAGATGTTTTCTCATTAGTCCTTTCATAGGGAGAACTATGATTTTGCAGCTTCTACATATGCATGACTCTATGAACAAGTAGCCCATAAAAAAATCTCACATTGTATATAACAATGCCATAAGCACATTATTGAATATGCTTGAAAGTCTAGTTCTTACTAGCCTTTGAAAAGTAACTATTTAACATGTTTTCTTAATTAAACATGAATAAAATTCTCTTCTCTACATTTTGGATCTTCTTTATCCACTACTGCATAATGTTTTCTTCTCCAGAGAAAATTTTTAAGTTAGTGAAATGTTAACTTCTTCTAGAGACAAGAATGATAGTAATCCTGTGATTCTACAATGGGCATTTTCTACACTAGTAAATAGCAGTCAGTTTTTCTTTCAAGTTGAAAGCAGCATGATTAAAAATCATAGTTACTTTTTACCCTCTTTATAGGTCAGACATCTTTATGGTATAACTGTGTTTGAAGATTATTTGTATACAACCAATTCTGATAACTTCAATATCATAAGGATAAACCGATTTAATGGCACTGATATTCATTTGTTAATTAAAATGGAAAATGCTCGAGGAATCAGAATCTATCAAAAAAGAACTCAACCAACAGGTAAGTTGCAAACCTTCTTCCTAACCTACATAATGGTAGATTGAATGGGGACATAGACCTTGTGCTTTTGTATGGTGTTAAAGTGAGTAAGTCATAAATTCTGTTTTGACAGCAAAAGTGTGCATGTCTGCTTGTTAAAAGGAGTAGAGCTCCCTTCATATGTCTAAATGAAAAATTGTTCAGTTCCTGGTGAATCGTTTCTACAACCATAGAATTAAAATGATGGCTAAATTTAGATTCAGGAAGGAGCTTTCAATTGTGATGTATGTAGACAGGAAACCCAGATGCTGAGCCTTCTTTTTCTGGGGGAGGGGGATATCATTTTTGGGAGACAAATTTTAAGTTAGGTGACTGCCTTGCAATATCTGTTGAGTGTTTATTGTAGTTGTTGGGCTCTCCTGACTTAACATCCCAATTGTTCTTTAACACATGCTCATTAAAAATAATTTTTTTAAAGAAAAGGTTGCAATGTTTCTAAGTGTTTCTCAAAAACACAAACCAGTTATTTTTCATAATAGTTAGTGATGCTGTTCATCCATACAATTTAGGCTCAATCACATGTAGAATAATTTAACATAAAAAATCAAGACCCTGGGGCCAGCTGATTAGTTCAGTTGGTTAGAACATGGTGCTGATAGCACCAAGGTCCAGGGTTTGATCCCTGTACTAGCCAGTCACCAAAAAACAAAAACAAAACAAAACAAATCACCCCCAATTTTTATCATCTTTTTATGCTTATGCTTCACATTGAAACTAATCCAGAATTATCCCAACATTAACATATATCCAATTGAGACAATGCATTTGTCACATATATTTTTACAAAAAATTCAGATTTTGAATTCTGTAGATAGCCTTATGAGAATTTGATATTAGGATTTACTTATCAATTATTCATGAACCATTTACTATGTGCCAGGAGCTCTTCTATATATATTGGAGATACAGCAGTGAATAAAACAGGCAAAATATTCTTGCCGTTATGAGACTTGCTTCTAGTGGAGAAGATACAATAATAAAATGTAACTAAGTATATGCATTACATGAAGGTAATAACTGCTATAGAGAAAATAAAGTAAGGAGCATAAGGAGTGTCAGGGATGAGGGGAGTTTACAATTTCGTATTGTAAAGCCCCATTGAAAAAATGGCATTGAACAAAGGTTGGAGGTAATTGGAGGCAGGCACGGGGAAATCTGGGGCAAGAACATTGTGGGTAGAGGAATGAGCAAGCACAAAGGCCCTGAGGAAGGAGGATGCCAAGACTGTTCAAGGAGCAGCAAGGACACCTACGTGTCTGGAGCAGAGTGAGGAAAGGAAAGAAATTTAGGAAATGCGGTTAGAGAAATGGAGGACCATAACGATAGGGCCCTCTATTGTAAAACTTTTGCTTTTACTTTTAGTGACATGGGGAGTCCTTAGGAAGCATTAAGAAGAGGAGTCTCATGATCTGATTGACATCTTAAAGAGCAAACGTGGCTACTGTGTTGACAATAGACTGTGGGGGCAGACGGGTGGAAGGTTAGAGTGGATGATATATTGGACCAAGATGGTAGCAGTGAAAGTGGTGAGAT